ATTCATTCAATCGTTTCTCTATTTATTTGTTTAAAGCTTTCGTTTCGATATTTAGATAATTTTTAGAGATTATTTTCCATTTTTGTATGATTAATTTTCATGCAATGTTTCATTCTTTGCTTGTTTTATCATATACAATGATTGTATCAGATACAAAAAATTGTATCAGATACTAATTTTTGCATCAAATAATGATAGTTGTTACATATTCAAATCATTGCTCTACATACAAAGGATTGTATTTACTACAATCATTGCATCAAGTACAAACGATTGTTTATGATACAATCATTGTATCACGTTCAAAAGATTGTATCAGATAATAAATACATTTTTGTTTGAACGATACAATCGGCGTATCGCATACACAAAAATAGTATCAAACTCGAATAAAATCATTATGTAGATAGAAAAATTGATAGATAGATATATATATATAAACTGTCATACTTTAACATGTTTTAAGATTCTAAATAAATTTTTTATGAATATTAGTTTGTTTGAATTTAAATTATCATTTAAAATCCCTAAAAATACTTGAATTAAAATTTTTTCAAAGGAAAAATACACATAAATGTTCTTCTCAGTGACTTTTTATACTCGCTGACGATATCATCCTCATAGCAATTAACACGTCAAAAAATTTACATTACAACTTTAAAAAATTATCTCCTCACTAGCTAGTTTACTAACGGGGAAGAGTTACTAATTAACACTATCTTTCTCGAGTAAAATACTAATTACTGCTATAAGTTTCTATGTCTTTATTTCGGAAAGAAGTTCTTTCATGGCTCTACTGCTTTTTGTGACTATCCTATTACTTTTCATTTCATGGAAGGATGGATATGCCTGCTAGTTTAAAAAAAAAAGAAAAATAATATTCCAGGCACTGGTTTCATGTAGAAAAACATACTTACTACTAATACAACAACAAAAACAACAACAACAACAATAACAACAACAATAACAACAACAACAACAACTACTACTACTACTACTACTACCACTACTACTACTACCACTACTACTAATACTACCACTACTACTACTAGTATTACTACTTCTGCCTTTACTACTACTGCTACTGCTGCTGCTACTACTACTACTACTACTATTACTACTGTTACTGCTACTACTACTACTGCTGCTAAGATTTTAATTCGTGACTGCTTAGTAAAAATGTGCAACCATTATGATCATGAAAGCATCGTTACTACCACTGCCACTACTATTGCTTCTAGTGAGAAAAATTTCAGGTAATAATACGCTGTACGCACACGCACACACACACACGCACACACACACATACACACGCGCGCACACACGCACATACACACAAACACACACGCGCGCAGGTTAAGTGTAAAAAATAAAAAATGTGAGATGTGTTAAAAAACGTTCATTCATTTATTCATTCTACTCTTTCAGTCATTCATCCATTCATCCAGTCATTCATTTATCGGTTTTTCATTCATTCATTCATTTATTCATTCATTCATTCGTTCCGATATCATTTGTAGAAAACGAGTTCGTGCTTCGAATAAGGAGCATATATCTGTAGAAATAAAAGATTGTTTATAACAGCCATTAAACAAGTAACACAGCAGCGACACGCACCTTTATTGCACACATTACAACAATCTACTAGAATTAACCACACATAACCACACATAACCACGCAGAACCACACAGAGCTACACATAACCATACTTTACCACACTAACACACACTTTACTCTACAAAAAGTATACAATAAAGGAACACGAATGAAGGAACATAAGACCTTAAAACTCATGAAACTATCCCACTCGCACACATACACACACATACAGATCTACACACACACCCACACAGACACAGACATACAGACAACCAAAACCAGAGATGGTGAGTCTTATTTTCACACATCCGCGCTCTGCCACTGTCACTACACGTAGAGTTTGAAAAATTTCACGCAGAGGAATTTGAATACCTGACTATGAACAAACTTTAGTATACACACGCACATAAATACACACTTTAACAAGTATACAAACATACACCATGCCTCTCAAACGTATAAACAAAACGAAACATTAACAAATATATGGAAACAACATACAGACAAACACACATACACACAAACGCTCACACACACAAGCACACACACTTCTATAGAAAATTTCATTCTGTTACTACAAAACAACGACACATAATGATACTTTTGCTATGTTGGCAAGCAGTGCAAATGCCTCTCCCATCAGGTCCCCACCTGTTCTTTACATGTTGACAAGGTCAACACGCAAACATACAAACACACATACAAACAAACACATGCCTACATACAAACACACACACATACATACGTACAAACACACACACATACATTACATACAGACAACCAAAACCAGAGATGGTGAGTCTTATTCTCACACAACCGCGCTCGGCCACTATGTTTGTGTTTGTCTGTATGTGGTAGTGGTAGATAAATCTTTTGATAGTAATAATAATAATAATACATACAAAACAAACACACATACACACTTTTGCACCCACGAACAAACACACACACACACTCAAAAACATTCCAACTATATCACCCCAATAAATACAAAGCAGGAACAGCTAGCCAGGGCTCCGTAACCAAATATTTCCCACACTGGAAATGAAAAGATACAACAGGCAAATGTTGCATACAAAACACCCTGCACGCACATACAACATTCTACGATTAATTAATTATAATAAAAACTGCAACAGACATATACACGTACACACGCTCACACATGCACAATACATACGTACACATACACATGCAAACATTCATGCAAACGCATCCACAAACACACATGAATAACATTGATACAACGACAATAACAATAACTACAAATTACATCAATAACATCAAAATAACATTGCAACAACAACAACAGCAGCAGCAACAGCAACAACAATAACGCTCCATTTAACAACATAGCAAAGAACTAGACTAAAAAAAACATTTACGACAGTGCAACTAAACATAACGAAGGATAGCTCTTATTGAGATTTTTAGCTGCTTTTGATTATTATTATTATTTATTATTATTATTTATTATTATTATTTATTGTTATTATTATTACCAATATTTGTCAAATTAATCATCACGTATTCATAAGGTGTGAGGCAATTTACGTACGTCAGAGAGAATTTTTTTTCCTCCTCAAAAGTTAGCGCTATACAAATTCGAGCCACTACCCATCCCGCCAGCCACATCTACGTCAGTGTACTTTTAATTTGTAATCGCTATTTATGACGTCATCCTTCACGTACAGTAAAATTTAAAAAATACTAATAATACTATGCTATTGATCTGTTAGTTACATATTTTAGTGCTGCTTCTACTACTACTACTGATTCAACTACTACTATTTTTTCTGTTACTATCATTACTACTACTACTGCTTCAACTACTACCACTACCACTACTACTACTACTACTACTACTACTACTACTACTACTAATACTAATACTACTACTAATACTACTGCTATCACTACTACTACTATTATTACAATTATAATTACTAGAGCTAAAAGTTGTAGTAGTAGTAGTAAAAAGATAACAATGATGATGATGATAATATTTTTTTCTACCGCGACCTGTACTTATTAATATTTATGTTGCTATTTACATTCATAATTATCCTCATTGTCCTCATCATCATCATCGTCATCATTGGCATCATTATCACTACAAGCATCATCATCATCATCATCATCGTTGTCATCATCATCATCGTCGTCATCACCATCATCATTATCATCATCATCATCATCGTCATCACCACGTCTACGTCATCATTTGCGTCATGGTTTCCGTGCGCGTGTATGAATTTTTGTTAGCTTGCTCAGTCGTCAATAATCCTTCATGTGTACATTTATTGACTTTAATGTTTCTCGAGGCATTGTCATGGAGAGAGCGTCGAGCCGCCATCCTCTACGTCATCATCTGTCGTCCTTATCATCGTCATCATTACCGTCTTCTTGTTATTACGTTTGAGAATTTAAATTTAAAGTCTACAAAATCGTTTCGTTCATTTTGATAAAATAGTCCAAAGGAAAAGAATTATTAACATTGAATCTATAACAACTATTAAGAGTCTATAACAAGATCATCATCACAACGTTATCATGACATCATCATGACATCATCATCATCACGGCATCATCATCATCATCATCATCGTCGTCGTCTCGTAATCATCATCATCATCGTCGACAAGGTCTACGAATTCCCATTGTTTATGCTAATTCCTTCATTTACATTGTTACCGTTGCTATTATTATTATTATTATTATGATTATTATTATTATGATTATTGTTGTTGTTGTTGTTGTTATTGTTATTATTATTGTTAGTGTTGTTTTTCTTGAAACTATTACGATCGTTCCCATAACCATTATAATGATGACTAGCAGAGGCAGTAATCGTAGTAGTAACAGCAGCAGCAGAGGCAGTAGTAGTAGTAGTAGCAGCAGCAGAAGAAGTAGTGATAGTAGCAGTAGTGGTAGTAGTAGTAGTAAAAATATTGATAGAGTTACTAACGGTATTTTTAACGCCGTCACTTTCATCAATTATATTAAAAATGACGTCATTATTATTATTATTATTATTATTATTATTATTATTATTATTATTATTATTGTTAATATTATTATTACTACTACCACCATTACCGCTGATGTTACTGTTAATATTTGCGAAGTTATCCTTGCAATTATTATTATTATTATTATTATTACTGTTATTGTTGGTGTTAACAATAACACAGGTCTTATTGATGTGGATTGATTGATACAACTTCCTAAGAACATTCAATCTATCATTCGGACAGCCTGTGTGTGTGTGCGTGTGTGTGTGTATGCGTGTGTGTGTGTATGTGTGTGTAGTGTGTGTGTGTGTGTGTGTGTGTGTGTGTGTGTGTGTGTGTGTGTGCGTGGTTTTATATGGAGCTCTGGTCTAAGAATTATCATAAAA